TCCTTCTTTTTTTTTCTAACGGCTTCTCGTGCTACGTACTTCCGGTACACGTGGCGTGATATCCGGTACACGTGGCGTAGCTTATCTATTACTGCTTGTAAAAAATCTATTATAATTTCACTATCTCTATTTTTCTGTACATAATATCTATTAAATCTTGTTACACATAAATTCTACCAGTAAATTCCTCATTTATACAGTCCACTAGCTTATCTCGCCTATCTCCTTGTCTTCATGTAGAGCATCTCATTCAAACCTACTAATCTTTCTCTCTCGAACATTTTTTGGTCCTTTGAGCCGGATATTAGAATTAATTGTGAGTGTAACAAGATTTAACGTTTGTGAAAAGTGTCGTGTACAACCCCTGTCGCATTGCTGAGCACCCAGGACGTTGTGCTGCGACAGGAAAAACAGTTCAAGGGACCATTAGCGCAATTTGAAATTCGGCTTCTCAAAGTACAGGGTGATAGTTCCCACGTCTCTAATCAACTAGGGAAAATCTAGGTGGCGCGGGAATCCGGCACTAGAGAATTATCGTCATCTCCAGAAGTAGTGGGGACGGCCCCACCACTACACTACAGTCTCGCCTAGTCACCGCAATCCTGCCTCAAGATGGCAGCGAAACTAGCGCTGCAAGAGGCGCGGGCTTACACTATCTCGAATCTGCCTGCCAATGCAAAAAACTTTCACGCTATGGACCTCTCAACCGCTGTCGACACAAGGGAGTTGCTTCGATCAGCATGGTCAAAGTTCGATGCCGAACACGACCGCATCGTATCGTCATCTCGCGAAACAGCAATAGAACAGTTGTATTTTAAGGAAAACTGGTACGATGCGACCATGCAGGCATATCTAGGCGGGGTAACGCTGTTAAACTTGCAGATAGAAGAACTCTCCCAGCAAGTAACACCTGTCACATCTCAAAGAGCATCTCGTTTCAGGACAGTACTTCCCACTATCTCATTACCGAAGTTCTCCGGTGCCTTCTCAGAGTGGAGACCCTTTGAGGAACTATTTTCCTCAATGATAAAAGACAACTCAGACCTCTCACAAGTGGAGAAGTTACATTATCTCAGAACCAGCCTGGAGGGAGCAGCGGCTAAAGTCATCTCAGATCTGAAATTATCCGCTGATTCTTTTACGATAGCATGGAATAGATTGTCAGACAGATTCGACAACAAACGCCTAACAATCCTGGCTCATCTAGATAGGCTGATGGCCCTTCCTCGCAACAAGGAAAGGTCATCTGGATTCCTCAACAAATTAATCAATATAGTAACGTCATCTCTCAGTGCTCTAGAGTCATTAGGATACCCGACTAACCAATGGGATCACATCTTCGTTCATCAGGTGGGATTAGCGTTGGACGACAAGACTCGCAAAGACTGGGAAACCAGACTAGGAACATCACGCGAGTTCCCACCGCTAGATAAACTAATGAGTCATGTCACTAGCACGGCTAGAGCACTGGAACATATCGAGACTCGTAGGTCTTACGAGGGATTCAGGAAAACATCTCAACGGCCTAAATCTCCTCCCACAAGGTCCTATGCAAGGGCCTTGAACGTGAAGGCTGTGGCTACCACGCCTGCGAAGACATCTCAGAAGCCCGGATCATCTCAATTGGCAGTAGATAAAAGGCCAATCGGAAAACATCCTTTGCCATTCATCAATGACCTTTCCAATAACTGCAGCTATTGTAGTAATAAGCACTACATCGCCTTTTGCCCTCTCTTCAGGAAGTTAAATCGAAAAAAGAAGGAGAAGGTCATAGCAGAATCGCGCCTATGTTATAACTGCTTGGGCAGGCATAACGTTAGGCAATGTAAGAGTACTAGGCGATGCAACCAGTGTGGAGATCAGCACCACACGCTCATACATCCCGAGAAAAGGATGACATCGCACAGAACATCTCCTCCTACATCCAGAACATCTCCTCCAATCTCCAGAACATCTCCTCCTATCTCCAGAACATCTCCTCCCATCTCCAGAACATCTCCTCCAATCTCAAAGACATCTCCTTCAACATCGTCTAGGACATCTCCTCCTACATCAAGATCATCGCTGYAAATMTCAAGRAMTTCAAGCTCTCTCTCAGAGACAACACAGACATCTCAGAGAGTCTCGTCCTCGCAGGGCTCACATGTATCGTCGGATGAGTCACCGAGAGAGGATCGTCGTTAATCTCCCAAAAAGTCATCTCATCGCCGATCCTCTAGTCCGAAGTCATCATCATCCACTTCCGGTACATCGACTCCCAGACCTCTCTCCCAACCGAAGGCTTCAGTTTATGGCTCCTCTCACCAGTCATCTTCTACTCATTTATCTCCACCTAAGTCTATACCTACCAAGAAGAGTTCTTCTCAGAACTTTTCAAAAAAGGCGTC